TACTAGATATTTCTTTCAAGTTTAGAACATTTTCTGCGTAACTGTTGGTTTCCTTTATAATTTCATTCACCGATTCGTCCGTGAAAAATAATTTAAATTATTGTATCGGCTGTTCAACGTTTGTAGGAACTTGTGGTCCAATGACCTGTGGCAATACGCTAAAAGGTATTCTATCTGGAATATGTAATTCTTCCGTAACATCGCGCTATTCATCCGAGTCTTGTAACGAATCTTCGCTTTCACTTTCAATAATTCTCATTCTTCGTCTCTTTGGTAGTATAATTTCGCTACTACTACTCGAAGTGTCGGAATCATAACCCACATTGTCTTCCACAATGTCTTTTAACTCTTCAAAATCAAATACGTCTTCGGTATCACTCGGCTCTAAATTCTCATCGTAATATTTATTTTTCTCCATGTTGCTAACCATAAAAAAGGTCAAAAAATGGTTTAATCGTAATGGTACAGACTTGGCACGTTTTAACTACAGATAACAATTGCTAACGCCGACGATAACGTATGCTAAAAACATTTGGCTCCGTAGCGGAACGCTAAGGGTTAAACAAATATTGTTCGACAATCCATCTAGGATTCCCTTCATGTCAGAATCTTTGATTTTTTGTAGTCCTTAAATCATGCTTCAAAGAGATCATCAGAGTCCTGTGGTCATCGCTATGAAACATGATTTCGGGATTAATCTTGATCTTGAGTTATGAAGCGATTGGAACTTTCTCTAGAAAAAAAAAGTATGAAAAGAGACATTAAAAGTTTGATCCTGTGGCGAATGTGTGGTGTTCGATTCCTGAGCTTAAGCAATTGAGTTTTTCTGTGTACCAACTTTGTTGTAGATCACGGCAACAACACAAGATCCTACGAGCTACCATTTCGGAGTCATACATTTTTCGACTACCACTACGACCTGAAATTATACACTCTGTTATATCTCTACCAGCTTCCCGCTGGGTTCGCAGGATTGTATCACGCAGCGGAAGCTAGTCTCATCGTTACCTCGACGCTACACGTTTGCGGAAAATTGTCGATGTTGGCGTACCGAATTCGAATGTCCCTAACGAAATCTCCGACGCATTTCCGGCGAAGGATGAAAACAATGGTGACGGAGCATTTGGAGTTGATGGAGTGAATACATAAATTCTTTGTTAGATTATTTGTTTAAAGGAAACGATAATTATATGGCGGTTTATTTCAGATTGACAGATTTTTTAAATGACTGTTTCCACCATATTCTTTTGTTAGAATACCTGAATTGTAGCTTTAGATTGAGCATTACGATGTACGTGGTGTTAGTCGTATGTAAACGAATCTTTTTTAAAGCACATGCGTTAACACACTAAACACCATCTAAACAGTTTTTCTCTTGTGAAAACGTTCTGTTATGTTCATTTTTACTATCTTTTATATTACACAGACGTTTGGCAGGGATACGGTGGCTGCTATTAATTTTATTTTATATAGTATAATCGTGGCAGCCTGGTTGTACTTGTACTCTTACATTGGCGAGCAACTCGCTCAGGAGGTTTGTACTGTTGTTTGTCCATTATCTCTTTTGATTAATTTTGAAAAATTTGCATGTTTGAAAAGCCATCGTGCTGTGGCACTATTATTATAGTACAATATTATTATACATAATAATATTGAAACAACTATGATATCTAGTCGCAGGAAGTGGGTGAAGCATTTTACAACACCGTTTGGACAGAAATAACAAACCAGGATAAAAAATCTTTGATAATCTGCTTACTGAACGGGCAGAAACCTCAATATTTAATGTTTGGCAAGTTTTACAGATTCACGCTCTTTGGTTTCACCGATGTAAGTAGCGCAATCTGTTCTTATTGACTAATTAAGAAAAACAATATCCACGAATATTCTATCAGTCACGCAATGACAGACCTTTATATTGAATAACACTACTATATTTCACGATAAAATTACATAGAAAAGATATCTATCCATTTCTTTAACAGATCGTGAAAACTTCCATGGCCTTTTTGTCCGTATTACGAGCAAGAGTCGCATAAAGCTGGTGGTTGCCGTCTAACTCGAAGTT